ATAATATTTAAAACAAAAAATTCTCGAATCAAAACAATCGATTTTTAAAAACAATTTTCTTGAATCAAGTAATTTTTAATTAGTGTAAAAAATTTCCTAAAATAAAAGCAGAAATTCCATTAAAATTTTAAATGAATTTTAATCCCTGTTAATAAATAATTGCTAAGAAATCTAGAGCAAGCAGACTAATCTCAATGATCGTTATAAATTAAAAACACTATAGTGAATGAGAAATCGGGGTGTCACATCTCGAGCAAGCAATGTGGTAATCCTCAGCAATACGTAAAGCTCAAACCACCAGGAACACCGTCGGGAAATCGGCAAGCATTGTAACCAGGTGTGTGTGTGTGTGAATAGAAGCTCTTGTATATGTGGGATAGAACAGTGACTAAGGGAGCGGAGAGTGAGATCCAAAGGGGAGGTGTAACGCAGCGTAACGACGCTTACGGGGCTTTGGTTCCGATATGCGGCTTCACTGGGATCGGGTTAATACTCGAAGCAAGGGTTTAGCGAGAAAACGTAAACAGGAACAACAAACTCCGACCCTATTTTGCACTGCAATTCCTCAGCAAGCATCCGAAAAATTGTAAATGAATTAATAACAATTAAAAAAAGGTTTCAAGTACTGATTTTCTGCATCACTGCACATTTTTCATACATTTGTGATCAACTAATGACCAAATTTTTTTATTATTCAATTTTAGTTATGTTTTATGTTGATAGTCCTCTTAATATAAGTGCTCGGTTAATACACCATCGCGCTACTCTAATAAATCCATTGGCAACAATAAAGCCACCCTCAAAGTGTGCAGTTCATTGAACCGGTCGAAATTAAATTCTTTATTCAGTTTCAGTGTGTAAGCTCAAAATGTATAAAAATATTTATCTCCGCCCTCGAAATATCGATTTTAAAGTAAACTCGTGAGGAGACAAGTTCTGAAGTTTAGTTTTTAAACAACAGTAACCGAGAGAATACCCGGTGCATAAAGGTCGGAAGCTGAAGAAACTTCCTACAACGGTAGAGCTTTTGCTAGCATAAGTTATGTCAGAGATGGTGCTGTTATGGAGTTTTCTCTGGTACACGCGAAGGTAAACGGCGTCTCTCTGAGAGGTGCATCAACTATTCAGAAAGGGTCCGCGCTTTTATGGCGCTTCCGGCCATTTCATCACTACACTCCGGTTTTTAACTTTTTTTTATTTTGTTTCATTAATTATTTAAATCTTCTCGTGATAAGTGTGATCCTGACGAGATTAAATATTTTATCAAGTTAAATAAAACTCTGGGACTGAATAAAAACCTCGGTAGTCTTATAATTTACTTTATTATTTTATTGTGTGTTTAAACTAGGTTGATAAATGTTTGAAGGGACACATTTTAATACGGTCACAAAGCTTGGCAGATTATACATGTATTTAATGAACTTTTTAGGATTTGCTGCCTGTTTATGATAATTAAAATTAAAATTCTATGAAATATCAAAGATTAAAAATACCAGTAAATATACATAAAATAAATTAGTCTGCATCACTTTATTAAATGAATAACATCAAATTTAATAAATGAAAAAATTAGAAAAACGGTTCACCCTAAAGGCCATCCCTGCAACTTCCCGCTCATTTTGTACTTAACAAACGCTTCAAGCTACACATTACGTTTTTCGAGCTCAAAAATATTATTTTTGTGTCAATTTGAGCTCTTCGAGCTTAAAACTCTAATAGCAGTTTAAAGACACAATTTTTTGATTATTCAAACGACAATAACTTTTGAATGAATAAACCGATTTTCACGCGGTTGGCGGCAATCGACGCAGTTTTTGAAGCTCCATGAAAAATTTTCAAGTTTAAATCGATCGAGCCATGAATTTCGAAGTTATTACAAAAAATTACTTTTTTCGATTTTTTTCGACAACGATATCTCACGAACGCATCAACCGATTCTAACGTTTTTGGTGGCGATCGATGGGGGTTTTCAAGGTTAAGAGCTGATTAGTTTTTGAGACCGATCGGTTCAGCCAATTCGGAGATATTTAAAAAAAATAAAAAAAAACAACTTTTTTTTTCACTTTTTTTGCATTTTCTCGAAATCTACCGGTCCGAATCGGTTCAAATTTTCAGGAAATCTAAGTTTAGTGAAGCCCTTTCGAATGACACCAACCGCGATGAAATCGGTCAAGTCGTTCAAAAGTTACAAGAGGTTTACACACACACACACACACACACACACTATTTTTTTTCAGAGTGGTATAACGAAAAACAAACAATTTTAAAAAAAAATTTTTTTTCATTAAAAAAAAAATAGAAAGAAAAATTTTACCACTCTGAAAATTTCAGGGAATTTGCAAAAAATACTGAAGTTTTTTATAAAAAAGAAAAATCGAAAATCAAAAATGTCAATCATCCCGAAATTTTCGTTTTTTTTCAAAAAGTTAAAAAAAA